GTTCATGGGAGTTGTCGTCATGACTGTTGCCATGTAAGATGATAATTGTTTGGTAACTATTTGCAGTTACCACGCAATTAGCAAAGGAGACGGTATTCCAATTAAGAGCAAAGTTTATTAGAAACTACCGTACTCTATAAATAACATGTCAAACATTACGGAAATGGTATCAAAAACGAAATTACAGCTATTTTATAAATACAGAAACAAGAGGATTCTTATTTTATTATAAAATAAACTAGATAAATATAAACTTAAGAGACTTCTTATTATGTAAAATATAGCTTTATAAAAATAAATGCAAAGATCCTTTTGAATAATAATTAAGGCAATTATTATAAAAGGTTGTAATCACTTGTATCATTGGGTATCAAAGATCATAAAACAATCTGTTTGGTATCTAATCTATTTTTTCGCCACATACGTTTAATAATAACAGCAAACATAGGCCTACAGTTATATAATACCACATACCATAGGATCTGTGATAATACTTTACTATCATTAAATCATAAATTAATGATATTTATGAAAACAAAGATTTTAATGCACTCTTAAAATAGACTAAGAATAAGACAATAATAAGTAGACATGAAGATGACGACTTTGAGGTACGAGAACGAACCAGGCTCCATGGAGTATACTATAATGTAAAACATAAATTTTACCACCCTCACGCAATATGAAATAAACTCAGGGAAAAAATGGAAATGCATATGCCCTACTCTGACTAGTATTCTAGGTCATTTATTGGCTTAAAGTATAGATTTACGCTTGAGGAGGAATTAGGAGAGTACCTTTGTCGACGACTTCTGTTTTTGTCTTTACTTTAATAGTCGATCGAGTAGGCCTACCTGAGATTATGTTTTAGTTCTCAAAGTCTTGGTCAGAAAGGTTTTAAAAGTTTGAAATAATTCAGTTAAAATTTTCTATATCCTTATTGTCAGTACTATCAACTAAAAATATTCAGTCGGACGATTTTATGTCTGATAACAAAAAATCGAGGTAAGGCTAGGTGGTGTAGCCTAGTTTCCAGCACATACTGTACTGTGTACTGTGCATAGAGATATAAGTGTACATATTTATAATAAAAACTATATAAAACAAAAAAAACCATTTATTTTTATAAATCAATTTCTTTTCCATTTGTATACGCAGATATGTTGCCTTCTTGTGTATGTGTTCTTCACCACACCACTGCGTTTTTTTAGTGGAATAATCAATACGGTACGCGTTGTGTTGGTTGTGCGCTACAAGATGTTTTACGCGAGTGCTCATGCAGTAGTCGCGCAAGCCCACGTTGTTACGGCAACTATGTACAGTATACATCTCATACAGTCATCATTGATGTTATAACTCCATAAAAACGAACAGATTCCAAAAGGCGTTCTCGTCTCCGACGTACACATGGATCGCTTTACGGCGACAGGGGACGTATTGGTGCAGTCCTCGTGTTCCCAGGGAAATGCCGATAGTCGCATGGATACACCCTCGCCGGATATTTTCGATGAAGAAAATGTGGTTCTAAAAAAGCGCAGAGGTGGACAGATATTGAATGCGGAGCCACTGGTCGTAAAGATAGGTGATGCTAACAGCGACGAAGATGGTGATGATACAAGCGATAACAAGAACGGCTTGTTGTCGGATAAATTGGCCATGGTTGGGACTACAAATGAGGATGACCCGACTCTTCCGAATGTTTCCTTACAGGAGAAGAAATCAGAAACAGGAGGAGATTGTGTCACGGTAATGGTAATCATGAGATAAAACGCTGAAGAACACTATTAGTCTGGGTATTTCACCAAGTGCTGGAAATGTTGAAGATACTTTACCATCCAATTACTTTGTACAAAGCCTTCTTCATAAAATTTTGATGGCGTTAAAGATGACGTCGACGATGACGATGAAGATGATGATAATAATTAAGGGTGATGACAATGATGATATTAAAGGATGCCGATAATTGTAATGATAATGATGACAATGATGATGATGACAATAGTAATGATAATAACAATTATGATTATGATGATTTTGATGTTGATGATGATGATGGTAATAAAATTACTAATAATAAACTAAAATTTATCATCGAATAATTTTCTTAGGCTTTACATATAGAGAACATGGATCAAATTACGCCGGTAGAGAACGTATCGGAGCAATTGCCATGTAGTAAGAGAAATGCCGACAATCGTATGACGGAAACACCATTGCCGGATATTCTTGACGAAGATGTTGTGCTGTCGAAGCGCCGAGGCGGGCAGATATTGAATGCGGGGCCACTGGTTGTTGATGGTACCACCGATAATAAAGAAGATGGCGGTGATGAATTTAATGATTATAACGGCGTGCTGTCGAGTGTGTTGCCGAATGCTTTCTCACAGTATGAGAAATCAGAAACAGGAAATTCCTTATCGGAAGAAGTTGGTGTCACGGTAATGATAATCATGATGAAACAAAGAAGAACACAAATACTTCTTAACCTTGGGTATTCCACCATGTTGAAAACGTTAATATAATAATGACGCTGATAATGATTATGACGGTGATGATAATGATGATGATGATGATAACGATGATGGTGAGGATGATTGAGCTGGTAGTGGTGATATGGTAATAATGATAAAAAATATCAAACAACAACAACAACCACAATAATAATAATAATAATAATAATAATAATAATAATAATAATAATAATAATAATAATAATAATAATACTATTAATAGTAATAATAATAATAATAATAATAATAGGCCTAAGAATATATTATTATTATTATTATTATTATTATTATTATTATTATTTTTAATAATAATAATACATTGCTAATAAACAATACTAATAAACAATAATAAATTATTATATTTTATATTACATTTTGCATGAGTTTTAAATGTTGTATCTTTATCAGCCCAAGACTGGGATCGAACGGTTCCGTGCTGTCGTGAACATGGTTAAGAACAACTTGAAATGGGCTAGAGCATTGGGGAACAGAGACGAAAACCCTTCCGAAATCCACCATCTTGAAGGCGATGAAATACTGACGTTTAACGTTGACGCGTTTAAAGGTATCAGCAGCAGTGCACTCCGCTAAGCCCAGCCCCTTGGATATTGTTGTAATGTCTCACAAAACATACGCACAAACACGTGCGTTTCTGGGACAATACCATGTGCATGTTAGACACGCGCGTATTCCTGTCTCTGTTGTTATTGGTCACTTGTTAAGTTTGAGCGACACTCCAGAAAGGTCCATCGAGCTTTCAGCGCGCGGAGTGTCAATCAAAAACAGATGACCAATCAGAACAGGATCACATATACGCGTTTGTCCCTAAAAAGGCACGTGTGATTTTGAGGTATCTTAGAAACAATATCCAAGGGGGGGAGACTTAGTGGAACGGTCCATTTCCATTGGCCTAGGCCAAAATTGAGTATAAAAAAAATGAGTGTCTTCTAATCGATTTTTTCCTTTCTCAGCCAATGTGCAAGCCGTAAATCCATTGACGCCAGAAGTTAAAATGATATTATGCACACATTCTTGGAATCGGACAGCCAGTAACATTCAAACAGTTTATAAATTCCTTAACAAGGTATAATTATTACGTTTGTACACGGCCTAATTTATTTTTAGAAATCTGTTCAAATTGAAGCCAAGGAAATGTTGTTAACATACAACATACTACAGTTTAGAGATGGGAATATAATTTATGAATTAGTAGTCTGTCAAGCTAAGTAAATTGATTTAATAAATATTTTAGTAATCTGTTAATGTCATAGATTAATTACTAAACGACCTTTGTACCTGTGAATCATACGATTTGCTTTGTTCATTATGGTAGTAAGCTTTATGGTGTAGAATTAAGAAAATATATTAAGTTTGTCGTACTTATATAATAAGAATACAATTTTACAGTTGAGTTGGTAATGCTTGATAAAGAATGTTTTGTAATTTAGCAACACTGTCTGTCGTCCTCAAAGATTTGATTTGATTAAATATGCATGATAATAATTAATATTGTTAATTATTATATAATTTTGTATTAAATGTTGTACAGTACTATGTAATTGTTTTAAGAAATCTGTCCAAATTATTATTTTTATAATTTTGTATTAAATGTTGTACTGTACTCTGTAATTGTTTTTAGAAATCTGTCCAAATTGTAGACAAGGAATTGATTTTATAAATATTATAGTAATCTGTTAATGTGATAAATTAATTACTAAACGACCTTCGTACCTGTGGATCATACGATTGCTTTGTTCAGTAGGCCTATATACGTAGTAAGCTTTATGGTGTAGAATTAAGAAAATAAAATAAGTTACTTATATAATATGAATACAATTACTGTTAATTGATTTTACAGTTGAGTTGGTAATGCTTGATAAGAAACATATTTTGTAATTTAGTAATTGTCTGTCGAACTCAAACATTAATTGAATATGCATGATAATATAATTTATTAATTGTTATTTTAATTTTGTATTAAATGTTGTACAGTATTATAACAAAAATATTACCAACGAACTACCATTTTATGATTATGAATGCTTTGTTTTTCATTATTTGGTAGATGAAGACAAATCTGCTATTGCTACTGCTAATATTAATACTACCACTGCCAGTGGCGAATTCAAGGGGAGCTGATCTATCACTCACGTTATTATTTTTTCAAAATTATAAAAAATAATGGAGAAAAAAGGAAAATGTTGTAGCCGGCCCGGGCCCCTAAATTTGTAAAATAATTTTATAAATAAAGAAGATTATAAAAGAAATAAAAGAGAATTATATTCAAATTTTAAGTCTGAGAGTGCCATTGCTGACCATCTAGAGGTGCCATATACATTTCCTTACCTCAGCCCCAAACATTTTGGGGCTGAGGTGGTTTGCGTTCTCCATCTGTGAAATTCCCCCCCCCCCGGGTCCCATTTATTTTAAATTTCTGGATCCGCCACTGACTGCTACTGTTACTACTACTACTTTACAACAAATATGTTTAAAATAAGAAATAATATAAACTTGATTCCGTCTTAAATTAGTTGAAGTTTTTCGACAAGTATACGCACACTATTAAGACAGAGCTAGCTTCGGTTCTATACTACGAGGCATTTGAAGATGGGCGAGTACTTGTAAAGCAAGGCCACCCTGGCAGATCATTCTACTACATACTGTCCGGTGAAGTGATCAGTGAAATGACTGAAGAAGATACACGTACCGGTAAAGTTTTCATGACGCCATGTATAGAGAAAAAATAAATTAAACAGCACCGCGTATTTTACGTGGCTGGTATTAATAATCCAACATTGATTAATATATTCTTCTGTTTGGGTTTATGCATATTCCCTGCTCCTGTAAAGATTGTGCTTTACCGTACTTTGCCAATAAATGTTATTATTATTCATCACTGTTTGGAAATGTAGGCATGTTATCTATGCGATGCCTGTGGATTAATGGAAGTGAGTTTATTTATTGAATATTAATTATTGTTATATGTTTATATTACAAGGCGATAATTTCATTTGATAATACCGTAAAACCTTAAATTGAAGCCCTGATCTTCTTCTTTCTTTTGCGAACTTTAGGTGGGCTTCTTTTCGAGACGGGCTTCATTTCGTGATGGGATTCTTTTTGAGGTTACTTTTGCAAAGTAAAAAAAAAAGGGGGTGGGGTGCACGCTTCTTTTCTAAATGTTCCGTAAATTTTGTGAATTTGTATAATGAAACAATAAATAAGGTCACTGTGACATCAATCTGTATCAAGAAAAGAAGCCCATGGGCTACTGTTCGAGATGGGCTTCTTTTCGAGGCTAAATTTACAAACTAAAGAGGGGGCCTTAATTCGAGATGGGCTTCATCTCGAGATTAAGCCCACTATGGGCTGTAAATCCAGGTTTTACGGTATGTAATAAATATAGTCAAATCTTAATCTGAAATAAATGGGAATAACAAAAAGAGCAAGTTACCGTATAGAGGGCGTACTTGTCATAATAATGTTTTTAAAGCCCTATGCTAGGGAAAATTGGTTCTTACAAAAGACTAATTTAATGAATATTTTTTTTAATGTATCTTTTCAGGGGAGAAAATGACTCAAGTTGTTGGTGAGACGCCGGCGGGGTCAGCCTTTGGAGAGTTAGCGCTACTTCACGAAACTAAAAGGACCGCCACAATATTTTGCAAAGGTCTGTCCAGACTATCAAATTTTATTTGACAAAAACATGTGACATGCCTAAATATGGTTATGATGACATCACATCATGACCATATATATATAGGCACATCATGACTATATATGGGTACATTATGACTATATATGGGCATACAACAGTTTTTTTGTAAAAGAAAATTTGATAGTTTGAACAAAGCTTTATGATTAGTTAAGCAGGTTGAAATGCGTTTTGAAAGTATTGCTACTCTTTCTTCTTTAGTTCCTATTGTACATTAGGCCAAATAAAAAAAAAATATACAGTATATTGTGTTGGCCACGCCTGACCGACCCAAAATGTACGAAGTTGAGGTTCGGTATTTTAGTTTCTTTTTCTATCTTTTTCTTTTTTTCTTTTTTTAAAATTTTTTTTTAAAATTACGACAAATATTTTTTAAGGAGTTAAAAAAAGCTAGAATAGGCCTATCTTGCTGGACGGTATAGGCAATGCGACAGTGTTATGCGATTGTTTTGCTCTTCAATATAGATTTTAAAATGACCTTTGGTTGTATTTTTGTGTATTTTCTACTTTGTAGGCATAAACACATTATTGGTTTTAAAAAGGAATAATAAAAAAATAAATAAATAAAAATTTGCTACCGACCTGCCCATTTTTTGGATTTTCCCAACACGTGGCCAACACAAGAATTTTTTTGTTGGCCTTATAGTAAGAAAATGTATTACTGTTTTTGCTGCCTTGTTTTATCCAGGGGATTCTGAATTTCTGCGAGTTGATAAGCCTGATTTCGATATGGTGTTAAGACGGAGCTACCAGCAAGAATGGGATAACCGAATTTCAGCATTGAGATCCCTCCAGACATTCGGTGATTGGAGCGACGAAGAACTCCAATCGGCCAATGACCGTTGTCAATTTGAAGAATACCCTCCAAATACGGTAAACTATAGTTAAATGGTAAACAAACAGACCGACTCGGCAAATGTGGGTGATGATAGAGTATTTCCGCGTTTACTTGGCTCTTGAATTATCAGTTAATTATCAGCGATGAAGAACTCCAATCGGCCAATGACCGTTGTCAATTCGAGAAATACCCTCCAAATGTGGTAAACTATAGTAACATGGTAAAAAAAAATAAACAGGCAGACCGACTCGGCAAATATGGGTGACGATAGTGTATTTCCGCTTTTACTCTTAAATTATCAGTTTAAAAACTTATCCGTTAGATAACTTAGATATACTGTTTGCGTTGAACAAACTTGAAGAAATAGAGTTGAAATTTCTTATCTTTGTAATAAGTAAGCCATTAATTACCTTCCAAATAGAAGAGAATGTTTTGTTGTTGCAAATTAATAGATGCATATAGGCCTACCCCATTCCATTTTTTTTTTCTTTAGCAATGAGACTCTTCAGATTATATGACATTAAGGAATTTAAATGTCATCTTCGATATCTCTGAACAGTACCGCAAATGCTCGAATAAGCGCCGCACCAAACGTTATCTTTTTCACTAAGCCTCGAATAAGCTCCGCACTGAAGCCTCCAAAAATGTTACAAGCGCAGCGGCGCTTATTCCAGCATTTTACGGTACGCCTACAATTTCTTGTGCTGTTTTTACATGCTCGTTAATGGAATTGTGTGTAGGCCTATGTATTATATTTTGGAGATATTGTATCAAGGCCCTTAAAATGGACAGTAATGAACAAGGACTTAGTTAAAGTCTTTGAATATTTGCTTATTCTAGGTTTACCATATGTTCACGGTGACCACGGCAGCCCCGTTTGCCCGAAACGTAGTGCGCCGTGGGATTTTGGCAATTTTTTCCACGTTTCAAGTTTCCGTCTAGGCTTTTTTGGTGGCATTTGGATTCTTTTTGTTTTATTTGTGGCTTTCTTCCATTTTATGCTTCCCAGACCGCCTCCAAGTTTTGTTATGGCTTATTACGTACTGTCACGTTTTGTTGCGATCACCCCGTTTTACTGCGGCTTACTAGGTTTCTCATTCGCACTGTGACTGCCGTGGCAATTTTTTTGACAGTTCAAAAATTTGCGCCGCCATCACGGCCCGTTACGTTTGGCCCATCCCGTCCCCCCGCGTTGTCTCGCATTGTCTCACGTCCATCCCGTTTTGTTCACGGTGGCCTGAAACGTGGCTGCCGTGGCAACCGGGAACATAGTGTAAACCTAGCATTGAAGCATATAAGCTGCGTTCACACACTGCAACGTCTTTATTAATATTACACCAGCACTGGATGGCAGCTTTATCCAGATTTTCTAGCCAATAATTCTGTTATGTTTTTTATAACTGCATAGTGGTTATTAATAACTTTAAATCCAGGTCGAAGTCCAGTGTAATGTGTGTTTCTAATCTGAAGTGTGGTCAAAACTCTGGTGAATGAAAAGGGATGCACCCTATAACGCAATGTATATAAACCTATAGTCTGGTTTTAAGCCCTGCTGTTATTTGCCACCTCTCCCTATAAAAAAAAATAATAAGTTGTGTCTTGTACCTATAGTTGCTATTAACTATGTATTTTTTTCTTTTTGAAATAAAAGATAATTTTGAGCGACCTTAAACAAGCTCCTGAGAATGTTTATTTCATCAAGTCCGGAGAGTGCAAGATTATCCGTGAAGTGACGATAATGAAGCGCCACCTACCGTTTGGTCATGAGAAGCTATTTCTTCCTCCATACACTACGGACCTACAGGTCGAGCCAACTTATAAAGAGAAACATTCTGAAAATCTCTACAACACACCCCTTCACATATGTACTTTCGGGAAGGGAAGTTTCTTTGGCGTAGGTAATTACAGTTAGCTTGAATAATTCTGTTTTCTTTCTTTTTAAAATTTTTTCCAGCCTGTTAAGCAATATGTATTTGAGGTATTTTATATTTAATATTATTTAAATGATCAATAGTACATTATCGTGGCAGAACGGCGTGTCAATATTGTGCATCCGGTATCTCGAATACTTTGTTTACACAGAGTGCGATAAAATGATTCGATATTCAATGATAAGAGTTATGCTACGTTCACACCATGTCCGGATTCCGGTCCAAGCCTGAACGTAGCTTTACATTTAGGGCCTACGTTTATATTTGCTAAGATGATGATTTTGGACTTCTTAAACTGATGTCACGTGTTCCTGTAACGTAATTAAAGGCGACACGGTTAATGCAGAGTAATGAATTTTTATCCCGTTAAGTCTTTTATTTCAATTTCTTAAGGTGAGGATCTTCGTAAAACGCATATTATTTCGATCGGTAAAGTCGAATGTATTCTTGTGTCCCGCTTGGCGTTTCTTTTTCACGAGCACGGAAAATGCATTGAACCAATGAAACAGAGCGTGGAGGAGCTGATACCGTCACGAGAAGAAGCGTTTAACAGCTACGTCGAAGGAATTAAGTGGAGAAAATATAAACATAGCCTCGTCAGTGAATTAGTTGGCAGAAGACAAATACCAAACAACACTAGCATAACGGACGTCCCACTTGTATTAAGACGGGAAGCTCAGCGATAAAATTGAACATTTTCATTAGGAACTGTTTTATTATTATGTAGGTTATATTTATTGCATTCTATAAATAAAATATTGAAAACTATCGTGACTGGTAAGTTTATTCATATCGATTAGTCACTGGTAGTAGTACACATCGTCCAACAAAGTTCACAGATTGGCACCGGATTCGCTGATGGTGAATACAATTATAAATAAATTATGTTCCAAAAATACGTCAACCTAACTTTTTTTTATCATCGCCTTCACCACAACTG